CAGCGGGAGCCTCGGTCGTGGCCGTGCGTGCTTGCGAGAGAGCACTTCGAGCGGCGGTGCTGTGTCGCTGAGAGACGTCTACCCCCCCCAAAAATTGAGATAGTGGGAAGCGAAGGTGTGGATGCGGTCCGAGATGAGATCGTAGGCTCTGAATACCAAGTGTTACGTGTGCAATTGAGTGAACGAACGAGAATTGCACTATCGAAGCAAAAGTACAATGAGCGAAGGCATGAGCGAAGGATTATATAGCGAAACCATAGTGGTAACGGTAATGGACTGTGGTTGTCGCGCGTCGAGCCTGGGACTGAGGTTGGGAAAGTGTCGAAGCGTAGGCCCGGAGCGCGGGTTACCAGCCGAGCCGTGAGGTCGGGATGCGATGTGCGAAAAAGGCGGGATGATGAATGATGCGATGGTCGCGAGTGGTAACGGTGCTGACTGAGGTGCTACAGTGACGTACGCGCTGGGCAGGGACGCGAAGTAAGGAAAAGGGAATTTCCTTACAGCACCACACTAATACAGTTTTGGACTAGTATGTGTAGCAGCTAAGTGAGCATAACCTTATTTGTTAGCAATCGAACCAAGACAGCATTAGGAAAGTTTCCTGAACGTCAATCTGAGTTCTGTTTTCCCGATGTATTTAACACATCGTTTTCTTTTCTGCTCGCCTCCCACTGCTGGACCCTGTTTCCCTGCCATTGCTTGTTCCCCTAATGCTGGTGGAACACCACCACCAGCTGCAGCAGCAGCACCGGCAGGGAACGTGGATGAGCCTGATGCGTTGCTGGGAGGAGCGGAGGCAGCAGCAGGCACAAGAGCTGCAACAGAGAGCAAAGCGGATGGTTAGAAACGGAAAAATACTGCACAAAACAATTGTCTCGATGTTTCTCTGAGGAGAGCTGGTTGGAGCACAAAACAACCAGGCTGGTATCACAGGGGGTCACAGCGTCTTGTGCTCCCAAAAAGTGCTTCCCTCCTCTCCCCCTCATGCCCCTTACCCCTTACCCCTCAATCTCTCTTTGGCACAAACGGGTGAGACGGAAATAAAGACAAACTTTTCCCATCAGCTTACTCTCTTGGAAGAAGAGGCAGGAACCCAGAGTCTCCTCATAGTCTCCAACCTGGAGGGACAAGGGCATTGAAGCGGACCATTTGAATGTGAGGCTGAATCTGCTTCTTTGAGAATTCTAGAAAAACAGACTCATAGCCTCCAACCTGGAGGGACAAGGGCATTGAGGTGGTTGATTCGAATGTGAGAGAGAGGGAAAGATGACTTTAGAGCCGACTCAAAAGTCACCCGGATGGACACGGGCATTCAGGTGGTTGATTCAAATGAGAGAGAAGGGTGGACGCACAGGCTGAATCGGTTCTAAAACATATCAGAAAACTTTTGCTTTAGCTATCATATCGTATCAGAAAACTATCATATCGGTTCAGAAAAATATCTCCCATTGACAGAATGTGTAATGTGATGCAGGAGGGAGAGGGGTAACGTGGTATGGGAGGCGGGGGGAATGGTAATGTGGGAGGGCAGGACACTGAGACAAGGCACTATAATGACCAGGGTCATGTGAGGCACTGCCGTGCATCACATGAGAAAGAGGGGCAAAAAACACAAGAGATATATCAAGCCATGGTAGTACTGTGCTTTCCATGTACTGGTTTCGGGTTTAGTGTTGAGAGTTTTTGGGTTTAAAGATGATGTGGTTGATGATGACGTGGGTGGCTTACCAGTGACGTCACTAATGACGACGTGGCTTACCAGTGACGTCACTAATGATGACGTGGCTTATGCTAACGTGGCTTACCAGTGTGCTGCCATCTGGCAGGTGCAGTGTTGGCGACTCTGACTCCAGATTCTGGATAGGACACGCGCCACAAAACGCAGGGCATTTGAACTCAACACACGTCGATTCACACAAACACAAAATCCAGCTCATCCAACCAGAATATAGCTTCACGAATGTGCGAGTGTGCGCGCACCGCACACATGCATACATGGACACAACGACCATCTGAACTGAACCACGCATTTCAGGACAAAAGCGAGAAAAAAAAAAGCAAGAAAGGACGAAGAACTCATTCCCCATCACATGCGACAACCATTGCAACTACCCTCATGACTAGTCCCCTTCACAGATATTCCTTTTCTGAACTATTCCCCTCGCTCTATGATTAGCCCTCCCTATGTTCTGCCCGCCTCCACCCCTCCCCTTCAAGCCCTTATAAAACCCCTCACTATTCAGCTCGCACTACAAAATTTTTAGAAATCAGTTGCACTAAGGAGAATGAAAAAAAAAAGGAATAAAAAAGGGGATAAAAAGCACCCCGCTCCTAGCCGCTTTTAACCAAGTGCATGGCTCCCCCATGCTTACCTCGATAATGAGTCGGCAATTCCGAGGCAGCCTCCTAACTGCCTGGCTCAAATCCAAATACACGTACTCTTCCTCCTCCTCGTCTTCCTCCTCTGCCTTTTCTTCCTCCTTTTCCTTATCCTCGTCTTTTTCTTTGCCTTTCTCGTCTTCCTCCACTTCCTCTTTCTCTTTCTCCTTCTCGCCTCCCTCCTCCTCCTCTTCTGCATCCCCTGCTTCTTCCCTACCCTCCTCTTCACCCGCCACTCCCTCCTCCTCCTTCCATTGTTCCCTCTCCGGACGTATCTCTCCCCCGTGAATTCCCTTTGCGTCTTTCCCCCCTCCTTCCCTTTCTTCCTCTCTCTCTTTCTCACCTTCCCTCAGCCCCCCCTCGTCCACCGCTCCCCTCTCCTTCCGTTGGCCCCCCTCCGGACGCACTTCTAGCCCCCTTGAACTCTCTGCTTTTCCTCCTCCCCCTTCCCTTGCTCCTTCTCGTCCTCCTCCCCCCACTTTTCCTTCGCTTTCATCTCCTTCCTCTTCCCTTTCTTCGCTTCTACCTCCTCCCTCGTCCCTTTCTCCCGCTTCGCTTTCATCCTTTCCTCGTCGACACTCTTCTCTTTCCTCTCTCTCTCCTCCACCATCATCCGTCAATCCCCACGCATCTCCCTCTTCCCGCATTTCCTCCCCTTCCCCTCCTGTACTGCGAACATGACTGTCGCCGTCACGAAATTGACTGTCGCCGTCACGAAATTGACTGTCGCCGTCACGAAATTGACTGTCGCCTTCACAAAATTGACTGTCGCCGTCACGCGCAAGGCGGTCGCCGTCACGAACATGACCCTCTCCGTCACTAACATGACCGTCGTCGTCACGAGGAGGACGGTCGCCGTCAGGAATATCGGCCGTCATCAGCACCGTCTCTTGCTCACCACCCGCCTCCTGTGTGCGTGCCTTTCAGAATCGCGTTTCCACACTGAAAAACACATAAACCCCGTTGTAAGTAGCAGGCTTGGTACGTCGCAGATAGGCTTTCGGAATGGATAACAAGAAGGGAAGTTTTGAAATGGGGGGATGAGATGGGATGATGAGTGCTTGCACAAGGAGCTCTGGGTCTGATGATTACATTTATTCGCGCTGCAGACAGCATGTATACGATCAGACTCAATTCAATCATATCCGTACAGACATCCCAACAGAGAAATACGTGCAAAAACCAAACAAAATGCGGTAACATCTTGTTTGTTGTCATCATGCTCCTACACAAGGATTGAAAAGCAAAGGAAAATATGTACAAGCAAAACTAGATGGAGATCACTTGGCAAGCGATGCCAAAATCCGCAATGGAGGCTCAAACGACGACGCACAGAAAGGTTATCCACCAATAGCACGTTGCCACGGCGCACCCACTGCCAACCGCTCCCTCTTCTCCTCCCCGCCAGTACAACCTCCCCCGGTAACGCCTTCCCCCCCCCATCTACAAATGTACATGCAAAATTGAGGAAATTCACTTGGCAAGGGATGCCAGGATCCGCCTAGGGGGCTCGAACAACCATCAGGAGTGCTGCATGGCAATACTAGGGCCTCCCTCCCCCAGTAGCACCTCCCTGTTGCCAAATCCTACATGCAAAACTGGAGAGATGTCACTTGGCAAGCGATGCGAAGATCCGTCTGGAAGGCCCAAACGTCCGCTGGGAATGATGCACAGAAAGGTTATCCACCAATCGCACGTCGCCACGTCGCCACGGCACAGCCACTGCCAACCTTTCCATCTCCTCCTCCACCACCAGTACAGCCTCCCCCGGTAACACCTCCCCTCCCAATCTACAAGTGTACATGCAAAACTGAAAGCAATGTCATTCACTTGGCAAGGGATGCCAGGATCCGCCTTGGGGGCTCAAACGACCGCCTAGAATGCTGCACAGTGAGATTATCGACCAATAGCACGTCGCCACGTCGCCACGGCACGGCCACTGCCAGCCGCTCCATCTCCTCCTCCACCGCCAATACTGCCTCCCCCGGTAACACCTCCCCATCGCCGAACGTAACCGCTTTGGTTGGGTAGTTACGCACGTCCTTCCACCCTGTATAGGCAGCTACCATGCTGTTGAACCATGCCTCCCGAACCTCTTCCTCCCAAGACTCTGCTTCCCGAACCTCCCCCTCCCCAACCTCTTCCTCCCGAACCTGTTCATCCCGGACCTCTTCCTGAGCAACACGAGGTTTAGTGGAGAGGCTCGGTAGAGGTCTGGTGTCCACCCGAAGTGCGGGGATAGGCCCGGAAACAGTCCGAACGCTGCCGTCCGCCTGCCACTCCAGCTTCACCCCTAGCTTTGCCGCCCTGCAAGGCAGCGGGAAGGGTGGTGGGGAGTGGGGAAGTGGCGGAGGGTGGAGGGTGGAGGGCGGAGGGAGAGTGCGAATGGGAGAGTTGAGTTGAAGAGCCGGAATTAGCAGCTGAAGGAGCATTGGTGGGCGATCGCTGTTGTCCACTTTTGAGTCGACTCGGGAGAGTGCGAATGGGAGAGTGCGAATGGGAGAGTTGAGTTGAAGAGCCGGAAGTAGCAGCCGATAGGAGCATTGGCGGGCGATCGCTGTCGTCTGCCTGCCACTCCAGCTTCATTTCTAGCTTTGCACGGGAGAGGCAACGGGGCTAGGTTAGGGGGAGAGGGGAGTGTTAGGTTCGGGGGCGAGGGGAGTGTTAGGTCCGGGGGCGAGGGGAGTGTTAGGTTCGGGGGCGAGGGGAGTGTTAGGTTCGGGGGCGAGGGGAGTGTTAGGTTCGGGGGCGAGGGGAGTGTTAGGTTCGGGGGCGAGGGGAGTGTTAGGTTCGGGGGCGAGGGGAGTGTTAGGTTCGGGGGCGAGGGGAGTGTTAGGTTCGGGGGCGAGGGGAGTGTTAGGTTCGGGGGCGAGGGGAGTGTTAGGTTCGGGGGCGAGGGGAGTGTTAGGTTCGGGGGCGAGGGGAGTGTTAGGTTCGGGGGCGAGGGGAGTGTTAGGTTCGGGGGCGAGGGGAGTGTTAGGTTCGGGGGCGAGGGGAGTGTTAGGTTTGGGGGCGAGGGGAGTGTTAGGTTCGGGGGCGAGGGGAGTGTTAGGTTCGGGGGCGAGCAACATGACTTCAAAAAAAGGAAGAGAAAGAAAGGGAAAATAAAACGTTCAAACAACCTTCTAAACAAACAGGATGTAATTACGGCACACATACGGTATTAAACAAATATGCAAAAAGTGTCGAGAGTGGGATTTGAACCCACGCCCTTTCGGACTGGAACCTTAATCCAGCGCCTTAGACCAACTCGGCCATCTCGACACGCTGTGTAAAAGCCGGCAGGGAACAGCACCGAGGGGGGAAAGGGGGGCAAAGAGGGGAGGGGGGAAAGAGGGGGGAGAAGGGGGAGAGGGGAGGGCGGAGAGGGGGAGAGGTGAGGGGGGAGAGGGGGAAGGGGGGAGAGGGGAGGGGGGATCGGAGAAGGGGGAGAGGGGAGGGGGGGGGAGAGTGAAGCCAGGTGAGAGTGAGGGTGGGAGGGGGGTTGGAGATGGGTGGCAGGTGCAAGCGGTCCGAACGCTGCCGCCCGCCTGCCACTCCAGCTTCACTCTCTTTGCCAGCCAGAAGAGATTGAGTTTCTGACTTCCACCCAATTCCATCGGTTCCTCTGGCAGCACACGCACACACACAGGTGACTTTTGAGTCAACTCAAAAGTCACCTCCTCTACTACCAGCACGCACACAAAAGTCACAGCAGCCCCGTGGCGCTCATTCCACTTCTCCACGCCTTTACAACTCACCTCTCCTCCGCTTCCTCACGTCATGTCATTCCGCTTCTCCACGCCCTTACAACTCACCTCTCCTCCGCTTCCTCACGTCACGTCTGGCAGCACGCGCACATACCAGTGGCAGCCCCTTGGCTCTCAGCCGTGCCATCTGTGCTCAGCTCACCCCCCTCCCCACCACACCTCCCATGACCCACCTCTCCTCTGCTTCAGCCTTGTCTTGGGTCAGAATTGTCGACTTCCATCCCCTCGCAATGGCACTGCTCTGGTCATCCACCTCCGGCAGCACGCGCACATACAGCAGCCCCTTGGCCCTCAGCCGTGCCACAAACGAGGGGTGTGGGTGAGCCACCTTTGCCAGCTAGCTACTAGCACTCACTTCTCTTCAGCTTCCTCCCTGCTGTCAGTGAGGAAAGTCGACTTCCACCCCCTCCCAATGGCACTGCTCGGATCGTCCTCCTCTGGCAGCACGCGCACATACAGCAGCCCCTTGGCCCGCAGCTGTGCTATAAACGAGGGGTGCTTCACAGCCAGGCGCCTGGTGAGCTCGCAGGAGGGCAGGATGGGGGTCTCGCCTCCGGTTGCTGGGGGCACCTGGCAGAAGAAGAGGAGGCGGGTTGGGTATTCAGGTACCTGGTAGGAGGCAAGGGAAGAGTGGGAATGGGGGGGAAAGACTATTTGGCAGAGGAAGAGCGGCGATCCTTGGCTCTTTGGCTCCTTAGCTCCTGGCTAAGGAAAGATTGCTGGGGGCACCTGGCAGAAGTCCCCTCACCCACCTGTGCTGGGAGGGTGACGGGACTTCTGCCAGGTGCCGCCAGCACCCCTCCTCCGATTGCTGGGGGCACCTGGGGTTTCTCCCATTCCCCCCTCCCCTCCCCTCTCCCCTCCCCTCCCCTCTCCCTCCCCTCCCCTCTCCCTCCCCTCCCCTCCCCTCTCCCCTCCCCTCCCCTCTCCCCCGTACTCCCTCCCTCTCCCCCCCCCCCCCCCCCCCCACGCCCCTCCCACCTGCGCCTTCTCGTGGTGAAAAGGGATTTTTTCATCCGGAGGCGACTGCTGCAAAACTGCTTACTCTCCCAACCCCCGCCCTCACCCTCCTCTCCACCGTTCTCCCTCCCCCTCCCCGCCCCCTCCCCGCCCCCTCCCCGCCCCCTCCCCCCTTCCCCACAAACCCCCCTCCCCCACGCGCCTCCCACCTGCGCCATCTCGTGGTGAAAAGGGATCTTTTGATCCGGAGGCGATTCGTTTGCTGTGAACACACGTGGAGCCACCTGGGGGTCGAGAGCGGTGGAGACAGGTGAAGAGGGGTGTAAGAGGTATGGAGAGGAGTGGAGTGCACTGAGCAGGAAGGAGAGATGCGGTGAAGTGGGATGGAGAGCAAAAGCGAAGGATAAGTGAGGGAAGGACGGTTGAGTGCAGTGAGGAGGTATGACATGAGGTGCGGTGTGGTGGAGTGCATTCGTAAGAGCCAAAGTGAGATTAGGTGCGGGGAAGGGGAAGAGATTGGGGGGTGGGGGAGGTGAGGGGGGGGAGGGAGGGAGAGGGGTGGAGGGAAGGGCAGGTGGAGGGGGCCGAGCGGAGGGGGACGAGTCGACCAATCACCTTCGTTCTTGGAGCCGCGCCGCCCACGTAAGGCAGCTCGTCCAATCCGAAGGCCTCTACGACCTCGTTAAAGTCACCTGGCGACTCGAGAGGCAAGCCGCGCAGCAGCACCGCGCCGTGAATCTGCCACGTGTCCAGCAGCCATTCGCGGTTCGCGCGGATCCACGCAACCGCGTCGCTGACGTGAGGAGCTGCCGCGTCGGACGGGGAGGATGCTGACGTGGCGAGGGGAACGGGCTGGGGAGACGAGGAGGGGGAAGCGGGAGCGCTTGCGCCGGAGGCATTGGCGGAAAGGGATGCAGAAGGTGCGAAGGGCGCGGAAGGTGTGGAGGGAGCGGATGTGCTCGCGGGATTCGGGAGTACGCGCGGCGTTAGGACGAGCGGGAACGGCAGGCTATTAAAGATCTTCTGCTCCGGAATAGGCGACTCGACCAGCTGTAACAAACCGCCGCTGGCGCTGGCGCCGCCGCCGCCGCCGTTGGCGCAAATGTTATTGTCGTCGCCAATCATGATGGATACGAGCTCGGGGGGAGCGGCGGCGACGGACACGACTGGGCACTATTTCCGGTGCGATGGTTTGAGACAAGGAGTGCACGACGAACGTGCGGAGGGCGACGCGTGCGACAGATATGAGGAGCGAAACCACACAAAGCAAGCGTGTTGGAAGGAAACGTGAGGGAAGGGAAAGGTGCGTCGCATATGAGGAGGAATGAATAGATGCGATCATGCCACACCAAAGCCATACGAACGCGACAAGGCGAGTGGGGGAGGGAATATTCGAATTTGCGGAGCTCACCTCGTGATGTTCGATAAGAAGGGACGTCGTAAAAGGAGGAAGCCTGCCTCAAACATTCTATTCTCAGAAGTGACAAATGCTTATATTCCACCGACAGAAAACTATGATTTATAGATTGCCTAGATGTTTTATCACCCCCAAATTTAATGCAATAAAATATTGCAATTGTATTAATATTCATACATGTGCTCTAAATATTTGTTTGTTTGTTTGTTTGTGTTTGTTTGTTTGCTTGCTTGTTTGTTTTGTTTGTTTGTTTGTTTGTCTGATTGTTTTGGTTTGCTTGTTTGCTTTTTGTTTTTCTGAATGGTTGAGTCTTCAAACAACACTTTGTTATTCACACACTATATTCTCTCGATATAGTAGAATCTGGTCTCACCCTGTCAACAGGGTCAACCAGTCTCTATTGCTGCTGGTGTTACCACTGCCTGCCAGACCGAGGAATTGAGGAGCGGTGTCCACTCAAAAGGCATTTCGTACATTAGCGACTCAATAGTGGGTTCGCTGCTCGTGAATCCTGATCTCGGAATTGCCTGGTTACATTTTGTGAATAGAACTTCGGTCGCACATGCGTGGGTGGGTGGGTCAAGCAAAAGAGGGTCGCACCTGAGCGAGGTGGAAATCGTCAGACTCTTCTTGACTTCGTTTTCTTCCTCATGGGTTTGCTTTCTGGGTTACCTCCCAGCGTTATTTGAGAAAGTGGTGATTCTAGAAAGGGTTTGTAAATCGGGTGCTGGGCTTTAAAACCAGGGTCTCAAGTAAGAGATTTTGCCATCAATTGCAAAACATTTGAGACTTGCGTTACCTTGTGTTTGTAGGCGAGTTGGACTGGTTGGCTAGGGAAGTTGGCGTGCGACACTCCCCCTATTTTGCCAGAGCACCAAGTGCAAAACAAATTTCAGGTGTATGAGACCCTCGACAATCCTTGACATGTCACTGGCACTGTAGCTTCGGCTCCGAACCTGTTTCCATACCTAGAAGGTTTGGAACACAGCAAGCGATTTAGTTCCCTTCGCATCCCTCGCTGCACCCCTTTTCGTTTTTTAGGGCTCGTCAACCAATAGGAAACGGGTGTTTCCCATCAACTGCAAAACAAATGATCTACATGAAGTCCAATGCCTCTTTCTCACAGACCCTCTTACCAAAGCATTCTTACCATCTGTTTCCAAAGCACTCTTACCTCCGTCGTGCACCTGTATCCAAAATTCCGACTCGTTCCAGTCATCTAGTAAAGGAGGCCCCTTTCCCAAGATAAGCTATCGTCAACCGCCATTCGATACGCCGCTTCTATCATAGTAGTATGATACTGTCCGTCCCGAGTGAAATCCCGAATTAAAAGTCTGTTAGATTCTATCTAACGAACCCTCTGCAGCTGCCAAACCAGTCTGCTATACATCCATGGCGCGACGAGCGCGCGAACCGCCACAGTCGGGTGGACTAGTTGCGCTTCTCCTCGCCGTCCTTGCCGGCGGCATGTGCGCCAGCGCGCAAACTACTGGACTGCCCCTCTCCCAAGGTCTTCCGAGCGCATCGCTTGCTGCATTCCTATGCGCGTCATTCCACAGAGAGAAAGAGGGAGAGAGGGAGGGAGGGAGGGAGGGAGGGAGGGAGGGAGGGAGGGAGGGAGGGAGGGAGGGAGGGAGGGAGGGAGGGAGGGAGGAGGGAGGGAGGGAGGGAGGGAGGGAGGGAGGGAGGGAGGGAGGGAGGGAGGGAGGGAGGGAGGGAGGGAGGGAGGGAGGGAGGGAGGGAGGGAGGGAGGGAGGGAGGGAGGGAGGGAGGGAGGGAGGGAGGGAGGGGGGAGGGAGGGAGGGAGGGAGGGAGGGAGGGAGGGAGGGAGGGAGGGAGGGAGGAGGGAGGGAGGGAGGGAGGGAGGGAGGGAGGGAGGGAGGGAGGGAGGGAGGGAGGGAGGAGGGGAGGGAGGGAGGGAGGGAGGGAGGGAGGGAGGGAGGGAGGGAGGGAGGGAGGGAGGGAGGGAGGGAGGGAGGGAGGGAGGAGGGAGGGAGGGAGGGAGGGAGGGAGGGAGGGAGGGAGGGAGGGAGGGAGGGAGGGAGGGAGGGAGGGAGGGAGGGAGGGAGGGAGGGAGGGAGGGAGGGAGGGAGGGAGGGAGGGAGGGAGGGAGGGAGGGAGGGAGGGAGGGAGGGAGGGAGGGAGGGAGGGAGGGAGGGAGGGAGGGAGGGAGGGAGGGAGGGAGGGAGGGAGGGAGGGAGGGAGGGAGGGAGGGAGGGAGGGAGGGAGGGAGGGAGGGAGGGAGGGAGGGAGGGAGGGAGGGAGGGAGGGAGGGAGGGAGGGAGGGAGGGAGGGAGGGAGGGAGGGAGGGAGGGAGGGAGGGAGGGAGGGAGGGAGGGAGGGAGGAGGGAGGGAGGGAGGGAGGGAGGGAGGGAGGGAGGGAGGGAGGGAGGGAGGGAGGGAGGGAGGGAGGGAGGGAGGGAGGGAGGGAGGGAGGGAGGGAGGGAGGGAGGGAGGGAGGGAGGGAGGGAGGGAGGAGGGAGGGAGGAGGGAGGGAGGGAGGGAGGGAGGGAGGGAGGAGGAGGGAGGGAGGGAGGGAGGGAGGGAGGGAGGAGGGAGGGAGGGAGGGATGGGAGGGAGGGAGGGAGGGAGGGAGGGAGGGAGGGAGGGAGGGATAGAGCGGCGTGACAGGACAGAGCACATGGAGCAAAGTGTAGGGCAGGGCAGGGGGACAGCATCTCTCCTCCCTTCCGCAATCGCTCATCCACACACTGCATGCACAAACTGCACGCACTCCACTCCCATCCGAACTACCTTTCATCTGAACATCTTCCCTCTTCCATCCCCGCCCTTCTCTCCCACATGCTCTCTCTCTCTCTCTCTCTCTCTCTCTCTCTCTCTCTCTCTCTCTCTCTCTCTCTCTCTCTCTCTCTCTCTCTCTCTCGAATGGTCCTGGTATTGATTGATGGGAGATACATGGGAAGATGCAAACACATGCAAACCCAGACATAACACTCGGTCTACCTAACTACCTCATTCCCTTACTCCCTCCCGCCCCCTCCGTCCGACCCTAAAGGTCGAACGGGGGCTCTATTAGCTGGTGGAGCTGGCCTTCGCTAAGGGGGGCAAAGGGGGCCCGCATGCCGAGCTCGTCCGCTGCTATCGCCTCGTTGGTCTTGCAGCGGAGGGCGTTGGCTTGTGCTTTTTGGAGGCACACGCTCCTGCGCTGGCGGTATTCCGTCAGCAGCTTGGCGGCCCGTAGGAGTTGGGGGCTGCGTTGAATCGCAACTTGGCCGCCAGCTCCGCGCACTGCCGCAAGAATGCCAACACCCCGGGCGAGGGGTACCCATATGTCTCTACCGCTAGGGCATGAAAGCCCACCCACGCATTCCGGCGCGCGTATTTCTGCTCCTTCTTGTTCGCAGCTGCCCTAGCCGCCCACCCCGGTGCTCTATTGCAGTTCTCATCTTGGTGAGAAACGGGGTCCATCACTGTCACGGCGCACATCCAAACCTCTCCCGTCCGGGGATGGCGGATTGCGACGTCCGCCTTCAAGTTTTCAACGAGAGAGTATACATAGGTTTCTTTGTGCACCGTGAATCCCGCCTCTGCCGCAATCAAAGCAATCTCGTCCCTGAGCGCATGGTGAGTCGCAATCCTTCCCCCCCCTTTCTCGCAGCGCATGAGATGGTTTGGGAGGCGGTCATCAGGGAATTTGGTGCGGTAGCGGCAGTCGCAGCGCCTGGGGACAGGTAGGGGGAGGCCCAGGCGGAACGCAGCAGCGGAGGAGAGCTGGGAGGGTCCCATCCTAAGCGAGGGTATGATGGGTCGTGCCAGCAGCCAATCTCCCGCACCAGGGCCGAGCACCGACTGCATTCTCTGGGCATGGCCAGAGAGGGGGTTGGGGCGCATCCGCCTTGCCTCGTTCATGACCCTCAGGAAGCGGCGTGTCTGAACCGCCAGCGCTAGAGACTGCTGCAGCTTGAGGCCCTGTGGGTCTGCTTTCCCGGCCTGGAGGGCTTCTAGAGCCTCGGGGGGGAGGGCTGCTTCCGCTGCTGCAAGGCGTGCAGGCAGGGCGTGCGCGGAGCCGGATGCGGGGTCCATTAGGGGGAGGAGGGCTGCTACATCTGGGTGGAGTGCCTCGGCCAGGGAGTGCAGTAAGTGGGAGGTGCCCACCACCGACGCAAGGTACGCATAGCTCCCTTCAACTGCAGGACTTGTGATGCCAAGCCCCCCCAATGTTACGGGCAGCGCCGCTTGCCTCCAGATTCTCCTCTGTTCCGCGTCACTCCTTGGCAGCATGATATGGGCCGCGTCCAGGAAGGTATGTAGCAGTTGCTCCCCCCATGCCGCCCATTCATCTTCAGGTAGTGCCTCTAGCGGAGTGGTTCTGGCCAGGAAGGATGCTCGGCGGCCCACGCAGCGGGTGAGTAGCAGCAGGCACAATTGGGGGTCCATTTGGGCCAGGAGCGGCAAGGGTTCTGCTGCTGCTGCAAGCCTTTCCCTTACTCTGGCGGCACAGCCATCTGAGGTCTCGATTGGGCTTCCTAATATCCGCAGTCCGTCTGCTGCAATGGGGAAGCTCGGAGGGAGAGAGGCGGGGTCTATGGCGGTTGCAGACCAAGCCTCACACTTCCCAAGGTTGTGCTCGAGGCCTATGTGGATCAGCGCGGCAGTCAGGTGTGTAAATGCCGCCGTGCACGCTTCTGCTTCGCCTAGCAGCGTTATGTCGTCTGCATAGGCGAGAATGACGACCCTTGGGTGAGCTAGTGCCATTGCGGTAAGGTGTGGGTGGATGCTTGCCGCAAAGAGCAAGGGGCCAAGAGGGTCCCCCTGGCGGACGCCTCTAGCGCTTAGCAGTGGAGCCACGCCGTAGTCATGGTCGAGGTGAAGTGCTGAGGGAGTTCCGTAGGAGAGGCGGACAAGGGGCAGAAGGCTTTCAAGGGACTCGTTCTTGAGCCCCTCAAATACAGCCGCCCTTTCCACCGCGTTAAACGCGTTGGCGAGGTCAATCTGCAGCGCCACCGAGCCCGGGTTCTCCTCCAGGTATGTGCGCGCAGTGTGAATGGCCGCCTCAATCCCTCCAGCCACTGCGACCCCGAACTGTAGAGGCGCGAAGTGTGATCGTGCCGCCGCCCCAGTCAGGAACAGTGCTGCCTTGGCCACGATGCGAAGAAGGCATTCGCCCACGGCTATTGGTCGGGTCCCCCCCTGCGGTTTTGTGAAGGCCAAGAGCCGTGAGGCTGTGAGGAGCTCGGTGGCCTCGCTGCTGAGTTTCCCGGCTATAGCTGTATTGGTAAGTGCGAGGAGGTGGGCGAAGATGTCTGGATTTCCGAGTGCAGCATCGCGGATGTGCTCGAAGGTTGTGCCTGAGGGCCCTGCTCCCACCCCGTTTGGGAGTTTGGCCACGATGCGCCTGAAGTCGCGCGGCTCTATCGAAGGGGTTTTCTCGGGGGAGAAGGTGCGTATCCATTCTGGGAGGGGCTGGAGTGCTTGCGGGTGTTGTGCTGCTAATGCCGCGTACACTTCGGAGGAGGCGGGTGAGACCGGAGTGGCTTGGAGGGACTGTAGAGACTTGGCCAGGTTACCACGCTTGGCCAGTCCCTCCGCTCTAGCAAGGATGCCCTGAGTGTCAGGTACGTAACGTGGCGGGGCTGGGAGGGAAATTGCTTCAACCGCCTCGTCGTACAGGCCAGACCAGAGGCCCTGACGGAAACGGAGGAGGCGATTCATCATCGCGTTCCAGTCTGGTTTGCGAGCTGACGAGGTGCGTAGGAGGATTCGTGGGAGGAAAGTCAGTATCCTCCACCCTGCGGTCGAGTTGGGATTGGCTGCCAGGTGGAGGAATGGGGTGAGTAGGCAGACTGCGAATGATTCGCGAAGGTCTTTTGGCGGGTGACGGGCGAGGAGGGGCTGGCGACTGTCGCGCAGTGGGTCCAGGTCCCAGCCTGCGACTTGCGCGAAAAGGTCCAGTCGTTTCGCCAAGTCGCCTGGGTGGATCATTGGTGGGGTTGGGGTTGGGGTTGGGGTGTTCCTATTGGCTGTGGCAGAGTCAAATGTGATTTCTGCCGCGGTCCGATTTCCCCCCACATTCCGATTCCTGGATGGGGTTCGTGTTGAAGACGCGGCTCCAATTTGTTGGTCCGGGAACTCAGCCCCACGAACCAAGAGCTCCTCGTCATCTTCATCAGCTTCAGCCTCCAAACCTCCCTCCGTTTCGGGGTTAAAACCTGTGTCACCCTCGTCGCTCTCGTCATTCTCCGATTCACCACTCTCCCTCCTGCTAGCGGTTTCCTCGCCGCCTTCCGCGCCTTCCCGGAGTAGTCGTTCTGCTGTCCTCGCATAGCCGCTCGCGCCTGTACGTCGGCCTCCTCTCCTCCCAGCTCCTCTTCCTCGGCGTCCTCTCCCGCCTACGTGTCGTCCGCCAGGTGCGCCTCTCCTCGCGATCGGGCCGTGCATTACAGGCGTGCGGTTTTCGCCAATCTCCTCCCCTGCCGAGCGGGGCTCTGGCGTCCTCGGCTCACGCCTCGGTCGTGATGGTGGGGTCCGTGGGTCGCGACCGCGCCTTGGAAGCAACCGCGGAGAGCGCTCAGCTTGTTGCACAGCCAATCCCCGAGTATGCGCCTCCGTGTTCCCTAGTGCAGGCTCGTCCTGCTGCGTCGGCGCCCGTGCGCCGTCTTGAGCGCGGGTTGTCTCTTCCGCTGCGCGGGGCGGATCGTCTCGCGTCTCCTGAGCAATCCCGCGCTCCCCTAGTCGTTGCGTCGACTGCCTTGCCGGCGCGTCAGGGGCGGGGCCGGTCCCCGCCGCCTCGTGGATATCGGCCCGCGTCCCCTGCGCGTCGCGCCCCTGAGCCGCATGACTCTCGGCGGCGATGGGACGAATATCAGCGGGAAATTCAGCATCGCGACCGCCGCTACCGCTCTTCTGAGAGGTCGCCGGAGAAGCGCTCCCTGCGGGAGCGGTCCCCTCCGCAGCGGACGCCGCGACCGTCGCCTCCGCGTCGGGGCCGCGGGGCTCATGCGGGCCGTTGGGATTCTCACCGCCGTGAGCAGTCCCCGCCCCGTCCTCAGTCGGCTGGGTCAGGAGGGCGTCGTGGGCGGCGGAATGGTTATGCGCGCGGCGGGGGAAGTTGTGGCCAGGGCTCCACTGCTGACCGCGCGGGGAATATGGTGGCGGATGCAGTGCGGGAGGTGGAAGCGTCGGGGGCAGCGGCTCACGTTCACGTGTCTGTGACCACTGAGCCCCCCACCGCACCTGTTGCGGTTGAAGCCGCTCCGATGCGCGCTCCGACCTTGCGGGAGTATCTGCCAGCTGCAGCGGCGAGGGGGCTGTTCCGTGGACGCCGCCAAGCCCCGGGTTACCCTGCTCCTCAGAATACGGTTGGCCAGACTCCGGGCCAGGTGGCGATGTTTCTGCCGCGCGGAGTTCCGACTGCGCCTCTCCCCAGCCGCGCGGGGAGAGATCCCACGCTGAGCATGTGCCGGATGTGGAATTTGGCGGAGGCGGCTGAGGGGGTGGCGAGCCTGCAGCTGGCGGCGTGTGAGGCCATGCGTCACACACCGAGCAGTTTTGCTCAAGGGCCCCAAGGACAGTGCGTCGCTTGGGCAGGAGAGATTGTCCCCCTTTTATCGCCCGTGTCGGATGCGCCCGCCGGGGTAGCACCCTTAGCCTGTACCTTCCCCCGCCTCGCTCTTGATCTTCACGCTGCGGCTCAGCCCGGGACCCCTGTTGACACTCTTCGCTTCTCGGCGGAGCTTCTCCACTCGATGGCGGGGTGTCTTCTCGCGATGCTTGAGGCGGAGGGGGCTGGCCTGTACACGC